ATAACTCATGCTTATGCTTGTTGGCTTAATGTTAATGATCGAATCGCCTGCATATGGGAAAGCAACACATGTACATACCTGTAATAATTAGGCACTATTTTAACTACAGCGGCATACAGTGTACTCTTGCCAATTTGTAAATTGCTGGTAAGGGGCGACAGCATCACTGCGCGCACCGATGGCGCGCGTGGTGCACGCGGCGGCGGCGGACGCAGAGCATGCGCGTGCACCGCGCAGAAAGTGCGCAGCGCTGGGGCGCGAGGTGCGAGATGTCTCATGCACACGCCCCACGCAGCCCCGCGCAGCTCCTCCCGCGCGACTCGGCGGACACGTGCGCACTCTCCAGCGCGCGCGGCGGGAATCGAGCAGGCGGCGCAGGGGGTCAAGCGCGAGCGCGCGGAAGTGTGCAGTGCTGGCTCGCGTGGTGCGATGTCTCGCGCACGCGCCCCACGCAGCCCCACGCAGCACTACTCTGCCGCGCAGCTCCTCCGGCACGTGGATGACCCGCTCGAGTCGGCGGACGCGCGCGCAGTGGGGACCGAGCACGCAGAGCATGCGCATGGCGCGCGTGGTGCACGCCGCGGCGGCGAGACAATGGCGCGCGTGGTGCGCGCCGCGGCGGCGAGATCACGCGCGAGTCGGCGGTACACGCGCGCGTAGCTTGCAGCGATCGCGCGCGTGGTGGAGCATGCCGCACTCGCGCAGCGGGACACCGCCGCCATCCGAACGCGAGCGCCGCGCGCGCAATGTGCGGCGCACGCGCCCCGTCTGCCGCGCAGCTCATCCAGCACGCGGATGACCCACGCGAGTGGGCGGACACGCGTGCTCTCGAGCGCAGCTCACAGCGAAGGCGCGCGCGCACACCGCGGCGGTGGGGGACGCAGAGCGCGGCGGGGAGCACCGCGCACGCGTGGTGCGTGATGTCCCGCGCATCGCCCCCGTCTGCAGCGCAGCTCCTCCAGCACGCGAACTCGCAGCGATGGCACGTGGTGCAGCATGCCGCAGATCTTCGTCGTCTGAACGCGAGCACCGGGCGCGCGAGCTGCACGATGTCCCGCGCACGCGCCCCGTCTGCCGCGCAGCTCATCCAGCACGCAGACGACCCACGCGAGTGGGCGGACACGCACGCTCGCGCCTAATTGGGACATCGTGGCTCATGGCATGGCACATGGGCCCGTAAATATCGAGTTATAAAGAGACTTACTTGCTATGAAAGATTGAATTTGAGAGTCACATCTGAAGACTGAGCATCAGGTTTTGCAGAGTTATTCAACGAAGGTACATACACGATATTGCGGCGCGGGTACACTGATGGAGTTTACTAACATGCACGGTGTCACAGTGCACCCGTGGCAAATGGCGGCCGCCGGTCCCACTCAATCTAACACTGTAGATAAAGGTCAGAGATGAGCGCCACGAGTTGTGCACATGTGTGTACTCACCTTAGCCCGATTTCAGAGCATCCTAACATACAATAAGCATTAACAGCAAGTGTAGAAGGTTCGCACAAACGACACCGATGTGAGGGGGAAACAATGGGGCGCAGGCGGTGGATAGGAGATGGCGGGAAGAGAGGCGTAATAAGCCATCAGCAACCTGACTCAGAGTCACTAATTCAAAATCACGACGTCACCGCCGTCGACTGTGACGTCGACAAGAAGACAAATGCAGTCTTATATGCCCGAATGGGACACGACTACCCAATGGGATAAATTGGTTTTCTACTCCAGTATATATGCTGACTACTCAGAAAATTTAAAATAGTATACACTCGCCATTTTGGCGGACGAGCAGAGTGGGTTACTCGTCAAGCTTGTCATCAGACATGATAATCTCCGTGCGAGGATTGATAGAGCCTGAACACTGCTCAGGTGTTGAGTTTGTCGAAATTCAACCAAGTGCGCCAGTCCAGCTCAAAATGCAGTAGCCGCAACTAGGGGCCTTACAGCAGGCAACCGAACTTGCATGTAATCGCGAGAGGCCGCAATCGTAGCAGGGGTTTAGTCGCTTAGTCGGCCTCATAATGTTGAAAAGCTTCTGCGCACGACATTGCAAAGTAATATATAAATTTAATACCAGATGCTAACCCTCAATACTAGCATTCAAATAAGTAGACTTTCAACATTAATGGTTAAGAATAGAACACAAAAACGAAGCGGAGTAAACTGGCACAGCCTATTATGTAAGCCCCCCACAAAATGCACACCAGCTGCGTTAAGCCTAAAAACGGACAAAGTAGTATATAAATTTGACACTGAAAGATAGTCCTTTTTCTCAGCTTCGAAACGAGCATACTCTCGGAAAAATAAGTTGAGAATTGAGCCCGCAAACGCAGCGGGGGGATTCAGCACTGCATATTTACATAAGAATTTGAGGCAGTGCAAACAAGCCTACGACGTTTTGAAGTAAATTCATTAGATTGGGCTAACCCTAACCTGATGTAAATCGGTAGACCGTTAGATGAAGACAAGTCTTTTGTGCCGATCTTGCGAGGGCGTCCGTAGGATTATAAAAACGAATTCTTATGTAAACATAAGCATTCGTAATTTGTGCAACTTTTAGATCATTTGAGAATCGGTGAAATGGTTTGAACATTTCACATTTTATTTCGTTTCATTCCACTCCATCCCGTGGACTTTTGACTGGGCGTCAAGGGTGAACCGAAGATAGCACTTGATAGCCATCCCGGAGATCACGGATCCATCCCGAACTGGCACTTTCTGACTAATTTCGCTATCCGCGCTATCTACCCACAGCACCAGTATCAAGCCCATACTTGCGGATTTTGCGGGCCGAATTTCCTTCTAAGGTGAATTTTTAACTCCTAATATAATGTGCTTCGAAATAAAAAACAACGAGCGAAAAATACGAGACGGAAAAGGGAAGCACATATCTATAAGGTCTGTTATTAGATGCAGCGAAACTACGGAGTCATTGGGGGGCAACTGAGATATTCCAAGATTCGGGGACCACTCCCTCTCAATTGTGATTATCATTGCCTCCTCCAGTGCCGCACTGCCCGAAGGTGTAGGCCGAGCCACAGTAAAAGTTGTCCGGGTTGAATCCCGGCGCCGCCAATGTTACGTATCCTGAATATGTGCCTCCGTGGGTGAGGCGGATGCAGTGCACGCCGCAGACCGACTTGTTCTGGGCGCGCAAGTAGACGTCGATGGCACCCGCAATAGTCTGCAACTCAGCGTCTGTATTGCAGTTTTTACCGGTTGCATAGACTTCCCAGGTGACACTGTCGACTCCGCCTGTGGGGTTTGAATATCAGTACAGATATATTATGAGGCGAGAAGGAAGCGGGTAAAGTGCAAGCTGTAATATATCGGACAGAAAACTCACCTGAGTGTGTGGTGCAGTCATTGTTGTCCGAGTCCGACTTCAGGATGGACGCAATGCCGACGCCTATGGCTGCCAAGAAGGCTGCGGCTTGAATGCAGTTGCCGGTTTGGGCCGCATTGGCTATGCAGTAATCCACATTTCTCCTCGCCGCCACGTCGGTCGAGTTGGAGATCGGGAAGCCGAGGACAGGTTCCCCGGTCGGCACCCCGTCGGTGATGTCCATGTGGACAAGGGTGTGGGCATGCTGCTTGCCCCCAAATGGGCCACTGGTCGAGTCTTGACCAACAGCTACGCCCGAGACGGGCGACCAGAAACTCGAGAGCATGGCCAAGGCGGCAGTGGAGTAGGTGGTAGCGCGCATTTCGAAGTCGGGAGCAGGTTATATGTGAAAGTTGAGCTCCTGAGTGGGAAGGATTGTGAGTTGGGGTCAAGGAGTAGACTGGCTCGAATTTATACCATCGCTCTGGTCCCCAAACATGTTTTAGTTGCGGAGACATCGGACTGTACGAGTCCTGAGGACACGGAGAGTTCCCCAGAATGCATCCGCGGTGCTGTGCTTTTGCTGTTTGATAGTATATATAGCTTGGTACCAGCGTTTCATATTCTTGCGAGATCGCTCAAATCAGGCAATGGAATGCATCGGAAAATTTATATATATTGCAGCAGAAATGTAATAAACCAATTACGATGCACCCTGCCCATCGTCTCGCATCCGTAGAGCCTCCAGGTGCGCGCGCTTAGCTGCTCGCTGCTTCTCCATCAACGCGAACTCATCCTCGACATCATCGGTGGCGGCGCTAGATTGCCTGTCAGACGTGAGACTGCCGAACACAAGTATCAGCCGTCAAACCGAGTATGCAAGCACGGATTATTCGGCTCATTTGCCAAGCCCGTTGTTGCCCGTCTGCGCTGCCGAAAAGTTAACTCTCTCGAATTGGGTATGGTCGACATTTCTTCCTTCTTGCTCAGTACTTCGGGGGGCCAGCGACCGGATGTTGAAGGCCTAGAAATGTATTATGTAATACGCTTTAGAAACTACAGCGCATGTTACTGTAGGGTTATTCGGCTCATTTGCCAAGCCCTTTTTTGCTTATGCCGAATCGGGAATAAGCCATGGCTGTAATTAAACCGAGTATGAAAGGACGGATTATTCGGCTCCGAGTCATTTGCCAAGCCCGTTGTTGCCCGTCTGCGCTGCCGATGCCAAGCCCTTTTTGGCTTATGCCGAATCGGGAATAAGCCATGGCTGTAATCAAACCGAGTATGAAAGGACGGATTATACGGCTCATTTGCCAAGCCCGTTTTTGGCTTATGCCGAATCGGGAATAAGCCATGGCTGTAATTAAACTGAGTATGAAAGGACGGATTATTCGGCTCCGAGTCATTTGCCAAGCCCGTTGTTGCCCGTCTGCGCTGCCGAGAAGTTAACTCTCTCGGATTGGGTATGGTTGACATTTCTTCGTTCTTGCTCAGTACTTACTTCGGGGGGCCGGATGTTGAAGGCCTAGAAATGTATTATGTAATACGCTTTAGAAACTGCAGCGCATGTTACTGTAGGGCTACGAAATAATGCAAAGATGGACCACACGTAGGACGGGGCTGAAACTGAATAGTACGTCAGTACAGGTGGAAAAACAAAAAGTTGGGAAAAATGGACTAATCCGGAATTGAACCGGACACCTCTCGCAGATTTTGTTACCTTGACGACAAATGCTAAGCGAGCGTGATAACCAACTACACCATTAGCCCTGTACTACTTCGAACGGGGAGAGCTAATAAGGCCCCTATCTACAAGTCAGTGTTTCTAACTAAGTTACTTATAGGTGGAGGCCGCAATAAACAATACAGTACTGGCAGAGGCGTCCAATGTAAACAATGTAAACAAACTTCAAAGAACTGCTATATAAACACAGTGATTTTGTCAAGAGTCGCGAAGATTGACGCGTTGACGCCCCCTCATCGCGGTCTCTGGCGCCGCTGGGTGCAGTACTTGGTACGACGGGAGAGCTGCACTATTTCGACCAAATAATTCTGAATATCCAGTCACAGGTCAAATGCTCTTTGTATGCATACAAATAAATTGAACAATATTAATCCTACACTGTGGCCGGACAAGCCGGTGGATTTCATATGGTTATTCCACCGTGTTTTGCCCCTGAACTCACACCTAAAGTTCATGGACTTCACCGGGTTTTGGTGGAATTCATCAGGTTGGCTTTCACCCTGCTTATGTGCGATTCCACTGGGTTCGTTCATTCAGTTTTGAGGTGATTATCAAGCCAAAAGCCCATAGCATGGTTCGGTTCCCGCGGCTACTTAGCATTGCTCATTTCACGCCGTTGTGTAATGGAATTCAGGTAAATTCGATATGGAACATACACTTGTACATAGCATTGGGCACTGCTAATCCTTGCCGACCGGTACCACGTCATCCTCGTCTGCATCCTCCTCATCATCATGAGCCGCCGGCTCCTCATCATCGTTTTCCCATTCTTCTACAGCCCGGCGACAGATTGCGCCACTGCGCGTAACACGGCCCAGCGACGCAGCCGGTGACTGCGTGTTCGACGGCCCCGAAGTCGGCGGGCGTGAAGTGCGGGGGATCAAGGGAGAGGGCGAAGGCACGCGGCGGTGGCGGGATGTGCGTTCGGCGGCCTTGCGGCCGACGTACGTCTCGGGACACGTGGCCGTAAGTCTTGATGTTCGTCCAGGACTGGTGCATGACGACGTACGTCGCCCAGCCGCCGGCGAAGCGTTTGAGCTCGGGCAACTGCTCATTGATCTAGATTCTAGAAAGGTGTCAGTTGCGAAGCGGCGGAGAACAGGTGACGCACTTGTCTTCCATTTTAACTTTGGAGATGTTCTGCGGCTGGGGGATGGAGCCCTGGTCAGTCGTGTCGTCGTTCGAACGACCACCACGCGTTTGGTCTTCGAGACGGCTGGCATGCAACTCGGTGTTGTTAGCCCGAGTCGTCTGCAAGGCGAGTTGCGCTGCGGATGGGGTCAGCGATGAAGGGAGACCACGACGACACCACGCACCTTCCAGCTCGCGAAGGCGAGAGTCAGCATTCGCCTCCTGTAAAGTGCTCCGTTCGTGCCGGCGCTTGCGGCGAAATTCGCGGTCGGGATCACGGTGCTTGTGCTTGCTGGACGACTGGCGCGAGTGGTTGTTTTCCTTTCTATGGGATCCCATGGGGGTTAGAGAGTGAACGTACGCAGAGTTACGACTCAGAGTCGGTGGAGTCGGGTGGGGCCATGACGTCATCATGCTGCGGACGACGGACGGCCCAGCGAGCGCAACGACACCTTGCAGCGGCGTCTAGAGCAGAGCGTTGGCAAAGGAGGGTGGGTTTCGGTGGCTATTGAGGCCGGAAGAAAGCATGGACATCGAAGCAGGAAGCAAGAGAAGGTGATGACTCGTGACATCACTGCCCGCTCCACCATCCCGTGCGGCACGCGTCGACGCGCCAACACCTACATCAGTAAAACTACAAGTTGGTCTTTGAGGTCTTTGAGGTCTTTCACCAAGACAAAATCATGTCAAAGATCTCAAAGATGCAAAAGACCGAGGTCTTTCGCCAAGAAGGTCCCCTGATCTTTGGGATCTTTGACAAGACCTCAAAGACCTTTTCCATCTTTCTCAAAGATACCTTGCCCATTCCGAAGATCTGAATAGGCACTCTCAAAGACGTAAAAGTGGGGCGAAAGACATATTTGGGACACCTGATACTACAATACAATTATACATTAGTAGTGTCGAAAGAGCTCCTGCACGTGCACCGCCCGCCCGCACCACACCGCGTCCCCACTCCCTAACTCCCTAACTCCCAGCACCCGCCGCTAACTCCTGCACGAAGTCCTCCCACGCCCGCATCCACGCACACGCCAGGTGCCGCAGTGCGACGCATGGCAGCAGGGAGGGGGTACCTCTCCATCGTCATCCACGCAAAGTGGCGTGGCTTGCCGGCAGTTCCGCAACTCCGTCCCGCCGGGCTGACGTTAGTGTTGGGGGCAATCTGGGACATCGCGCGCGGGGGCGAGCCCATCGAGCGATCCGGCCGCGACATGTGCATAGAGTCAGTGTCAGCTCTGGGCGCACGGCGCACCTACATGCAGATCAGCGCATGCTGCACGGGGCGGGGCACACATACCTTGCAAGGTCCTCTCATTCAGCATTGACATCGTCTGTCCAATGGGGCGCGGCACGCCGACGGTTCCATCCTGACAGCCTGACGTTGGCGCTGGGGACTGGGACATCGCGCACGAGGTCGAATGGGGGCGGACCCATTGAGCGATCCGGCGGCAGCGAACATGGTGTTGGTGCTGGGCAAGCTGCGTGAGACATGAACACACATAGGCGTATAGGTCGGGTGGCATGCTTACCTCGCAACGACCCTCTCACCCAGCATCCGCGCGCGGAAACAAACTCCCGTCAACATGAGGTGCAGTGTACACGAGTTGTCCAAGGGCACTGGGGACAAGAGTCAGCAAATGGTAAGAGGGGAAAAGGAGGACATAGCGTGAACGAGACGGGGAGAGAAACGGAGAGAGAGACGCAATGTATGCACGGGCGGTCTTGACGACTTGGAGGTGTCATGGATGACAGCAGGCATTGACGACATTGAGGTGATGTGAACGACAGCAGGCATGGAAGAGTTGAGCAAGGCAAGCGACAGTGCTTGAGGTAATTCTTGACGGTGAGTGCTTGATTTCTTGACCAGTGCTGACGGTTTGAGGTTCGTCGCAGTGGTACAGCCAATGGAGTAGATCCTTGAGGTGTTAAAGCCGGTGCATACGGCCACCCATTTAGCGGATTGTGAGGCAGGCGGGCCTGAGGCGGGAGAGGAAGAGATGGGGGGTAAAAGAAAAGGTGGTGCCACACCTCGTGATGATGACACATTACCACGTGCCTCGGCTAACGACTTAGAACATTTCAGCTGATTTCAGCGCTCGCTTGCCTGAAGGGCCCTGAACCTAGAATGACGGTCTACTACCAGCTGGTGAGCAGTACCAGACAACCTTCCAATTCCGAACCAGCAGTTTCCTTGGAGATTCGGGCACCGGAATTGGATTGACTCGGATTGCCAAAGATCCGTGTTCAAAGACAAAGACCCATGTCCAAAGATCAAAGACCTATCTTGGCAAGATCAAGACCTGGAAAGACCCTTTTCAAAGCTCAAAGATGTGTTTCAAAGACCGAAGACCTGAAAGACCAACTTGTAGTTTTACTGATGTACCTCCTACCATGGGCGTGCCGTGCACCTGCGGTTGCGGCCAAGCCAGTGTCAGCTACTAAACCCAGCGACCAACACCAACTTGCACTGCTATACTCAAGATACACACAAAAAGCCAGTTTCAGTCCGATATTGTATAGAATTCACGCCCCCGGAAGCACTGCCGGCAAACTGGTGAAAAAGTCGGTGAAAGTGGTGGAGGGTGAAACCATATTTCACCTCGAAACTTGATGAACGGTAGAATTCACCACCCAGCCTTGTGAATTTGACGGGGTTATGGGTCCACAGTGCTACTCGAACGGGAGATTCCCATTAATCAACCACACCGGCCGGCAACAACGCAACATAGTCGAGCGGCGCAGGCTCAATGCCGTTCGCCTGCCCCACAATTTTGAGCACATCACCCTTCTTGACATGCACCTGGCGGAATGTGATCCGCGTCGCCGAGTGCCCGTCGAGGTATATCGACGGCGTATGCCCCAGCTTCCCGATGTCCACGATATTCCCCACCCAGGCGCCGACCATCCGGCCGTCGACGAAGACCTGATAGCTGCTGCTGCCGCCGTACATGTCGAAGTAGGCGACAGCGAGGTCGTATACGCCAGAGGTAAAGTCGAGCACAGCTGTAGCCGTCCCGGTTGTGCTGTTGGTGCTCGTGACAATAGCGACCGCGTTGGACGCGTCCTCGAATGGGCTGACAACGTAGGGCTGGTACCCGCTCAGCTGCATGCTCTCCGCCTCGATCCGGAATGGATGGTGCCCGACACGCCCAGCATCATCGGGGATACCCGAGATGTTGTTGTAGAAATTGACGATAGCATCCCTCCACACGATCGAATGTCCAGCCTGGAAGCCCTGCCTGAACAGTACATCTTCAAAGCGCTCGTCGTCAACTTTCCCCTTCAATGACTCCCACATCGCCACGAAGTTATGGGCAGTCTCCGCCCCGTCGTAGTGGGCGTCGTAGAAGTGCTGGATGACCGTCTTCCCGGACTTGAGCTTCTGCGTGTAATTGACGTGGTGGAACCACAGGAGCAAATCGTCTGGGGTCGTCGCAACGGCCTCGAACATTGCCGCGACCTCGGGCGGGTACTGCCCTGAGAACCCCGTCCCGTTCGACACCGTGCGGTCCATCCCGATGCCCGTGTGGTCCGCGCGCGTCCACTGCCCCCATACGGTATTGTCTAGCGTCTGCGGGTTCGGCCCGAAATGCGTGTACAAGATGTCGTTTAGCGTCTGCTCGCCGAGGTTCCCGCTGTAGTTCTCGTACGCGGGCCACGACGCCATCGACATCTGCGCAACCGTGTCGAGAACGGTCTTGTCGAGCCCGAAGGTGAGGCGCGTCCAATCGTGCAGGATATCCTCGGAGTCAAGCGTCCAGTCCCAGGCGAGCCGCCCGTACGCGTACAGGTTCGACATCGCGAGGTGACTCCCGAGCCAGGTGTCGTTGAGCCCGACGTTGACGACCGCGGCGGAGCCGCCGAGCGGGCGCTTGAAACGCTCGCCGGTAATGAC